AATATATCGTTTAATTATTAGTTTAGTTAATAAGTTTATTATTAATTAATTAGATAAGTATATTTATAATAAATATTACCGTGAGTTAGTAGTGGTTAGGATATTATTAAGTATTTTATTAGTTAGGTCATTACCTTTCCTAGTTAGATTAGGATTCTAGGGTTTTATTCTCTTTAAATAGTCGTCTTGTGCTAGGGTTTTATTATGAAGAGAAAAATATTAAAGAATAGATCTTACGTTTCGTAGGAAATATTTATGATACTCGAGAGATCGCATCAATTGGTATCAGAGCGAAGTTGCGATTAACACCAACGCTTCGTTAGCAAGGCAGAGATTATATCAAAGCTACGCTGGAGCAAAGTTGAGATTACATCAACACTTTGTGAAATTATGACGTCCGAGAGAAGACGGTTGGAGCGATTGGAAAAATCCGTGGAGAAGTTACGGATTGGTATCCAAAAATTGCTCGAACAAAGTCAAGGACGACGACAACATAAGAGCCGAAGAGACAGCCACCGCCGGCCAACACCGCCATCCCCGCTACCGCCACCGATGCCGAGCCTATCGCCGGAGGGAGAGGAAGAGGACGACGATGATTTTTTCGAAGATCCACCGCTGCCGCCAATGCCAAGCCTATCGCAAGAGGCAGAGAAAGATGACGGCGATTATTTTTTCGAAGAGTCCCAATTTGTTGTGAGTTCGCCGAAAGAAGAGTTATCGGATTCAGTTGCTGTAATTTGGGATGAAGATGAGAAATTACTCGGTGATGAAAACGAAGAATTGCATGGGATTTTGAAAGAATTCCATAGCTTTAAGGAAGATTCGATTTTAAGTGTGGAGATTGTGGTACCCGAGAAATCCGACAATTTTTCTGAAGTTAGTATGAAAAGAGATAAAGGTGAAGATCATGTTGCAATTATCCATGATATGGGAAATCGTGACATTACAAATGATCTAAATTCAATTGTGTCCCACAAAGATTGTGAAGTTTTTCCAAAGATCCTTATTGTTAATGGTATTCTGCAAAATACTAGTAATTTGCTTGCAAACTTGAAGGTGGAAGAGACGAAAGAGATGCCCATTTATAATGAAGTGGTCGAAAAACTATTTTACACTTGTCTTGTCAGCATTGTTCATATCAAATCAGTTCCGAAGAAATTTAATGGCGTCAAACATAGGTGGAAACACAAAGAAGAAGGACCAAATTGATCGAACCTTGAGGACAAGGTTAATTTCAAGAGGGGAGGAATGTTGCGACTATAATTATTATTTAATTATTATTTACATTAATAGTTTAGTTATTGATTTATTTAGTATTTAGTT